CTAAATAGTCTGTAATGAGGAGGGGTGTGCAGGTTAGGTGGATTGGCCGTGCTAAATAGTCTGTAATGAGGAGGGGTGTGCAGTTTAGGTGGATTAGTCATGCGGAGTTACGGGGATAGGGTAAGGGGACTGGGTCTGGGTGGGATGGTTTTTGGAGGGTCTGTGCAGACTCAATGGGCCGAATGGCCTATTTTTGCACTCTAGGGGTTCTGTGATTCTATGATCAACCTTGCTCTTCAAGACGTACTGCAATAGGATCATTTATGTCTGTAGAAAATTACTGACAGGGGTTCTTATCTGGAGAAAAAGAATTCCGAATCACAGGTATTGTTTGCAGTTCTGCCATCCCCATTACAAAAGTAATTCCAAGTACTGGATAAGGTGCAGTCCAGATTTACACGGATGGTCCTGAAATCACTGTCAGTTAGTTCAGGGCAGGGTCATTTTCTTCAGTAATGGGGAGATTGAGAATTCCTTATAATGATGAAACGGGTTTGCTAAGGCTAACACTAAAATTGGCGTGTTCCATTCACGTGGGGATCGAAAACTCAGGCGCCTTAAACATAAGACGATCACCAGGAGGGAATTTGGGGAAACGTCCTCAATCTGAGGAATTAGAACTATCTGTAGCACATGGAATGTCAGACACAAATGGCACAGACATATTTCGGGAGAAATTCGAGAAACACGCAAAGGGAGAAAGGAATAGAGGTTAAAGAGATAGAGTGAAATGTAGAAGGGGATCATGTGAAGGTAAAAGAACGAGGATAGTGATCCTAGATCCTCTGTTGCAATGCTGTCGATCTTAGTGAAGATAAAAGCCAGTCTTATTTTGTTTAAGAGAGTCATCAGTTCAACATTAACTATTGAGTGAAGACCAGAGCACAACACTGATTCAAGCCTGAGCTTGCCTTGGTTAGGGTTAGGGTTTGTTCCTGTCCCCTCCCTGTGGAATGCTGGGGCAGGCACATGCGGCCTGGGTTTAAAATAAAAGTGAAGCATTTCTTTGCCTGGACGTCCCCTGTCATCTAACTCTGGTTTGGTCTTTGTGCAGGAATGCGTGGAATGGCCAAGCGTCAGATTCAGAAGTAACTGTGAGGCTGGGGGTCCCTCATCCTCCTGTGAGCTGGCCTGTGTGAGCAAATGCAGTCAGAGAGAGGGGGCCTGTGTGTGGGAACCTAGAGTGCTAAACTGCACCAGTCTAGTGTGAATCACACTCTTATAGAGATACACATGTGCACATATACATTTAAGGGGAGGCAATGGCCTAGTGGTATTATCACTGGACTGTTAATCTAGAGACCTGGGTAAAGTTCTGGGGACCTGGATTCGAATCCCACCACAGCAGATGGTGGAATTTGAATTCAGTAAAATATCTGGAAGTAAGCATTTAATGATAACCATGAATCAATTGTTTTTTTTTATATATAGAATCCCTACAGTGTGGAAACAGGCCCTTTGGCCCAATAAGTTCACACCGACCCTCAGAGCATCCCAACCAGACCCATCTCCCTATAACCCACCTAAGCTACACATCCCTGAACACTATGGGCAATTTAGCATGGCCAATCATTGTCAGAAAACTCATCTGGTTCACTAATGACCTTTAGGGAAGGAAACTGCCATCCTTACCTGGCCTGGCCTACATATGACTCCAGACCCACAGCAAAGTGTTTGACACATAACTACCCTCTGGGCAATTAGGGATGGGCACTAAATGCTGGTCTAGCCAGCGATGCCCTTGTCCTGTGAGTTAATAAAAACAACTGTACACATGTAACATGCATATTTAACAGCCGCATATAGGGAAGATGATGGCAAGGTGGTAAATGACTTGCTGCAATTATATAGGGCCTGGAATATTGTGTGTAGTTTTGGTCTCTGTACCTGAGGCAGGATGTTCTGGTTGTGGAGGGAGTGCAATAAAGTTTTACCAGACTGATTTCTGGGATGGCAGGACTGACGTAAGAAGTGAGACTGGGTTGGTTTGGACTATATTAACTGGAGTTCTCAGAGAAATATATATAATTCCAAAAGAACTAGACAGGGTAAATGCGGGAAGGATATCCCTAATGAGCAGGGAGTCCAGAACTAGGGCTCATGGTCTAAGGATATGGGGTAGGCCATTTAGGACTGAGATGAAGAGAAAGGTCTTCACCCAGAGGGATGAGCCTGTGGAATTCTCTGCCACAGAAAGTAGTCATTGAAGGAGAAGGAGTTAGACATAGTTCTTAAGACTAAAGGGATCAAGGGCTATGGGAAGAAAGCGGGAACAGGGGATTGAGTTGGATGATCAGCCATGTTCACATTGAATGGTGGGGCAGGCTGAAAGGGCCGAATGGCCTACTGCTGCTCCTATTTTCTATTTTTTCTGTGTCTCCGAATTAGTAATCTCGAGACCCAGGCTGCGAAGCTGTGGGGTCAAATCCTGCAGCTGCTGGTAGTGTTTAAATTCCATCAATAAAATCTAGAATGAAAATGTAGATGTAATTTTGGTGCTGTGCACTAGGTGCTTTAGGGAGGGAAATCTGCCATCATAACCTGGTCTGGCCTTACATGTGATCCACACCCACAGCGATGTGGTTGGCTCTTATCTGCTTTTTGTAACAGCCCACCGACCCACTCCATTCAAGGACAGTTGAGGATATGAAGTGACAATTAAGTCCTATGAAAGAATGAATTGAAACATGCAGTCAGTAATATCTACATAATTTACCTTTGCCTACATTGGCACATGCGCAGACACTACCTTGCCAATATGTGGCTGCTTTGGATTTTTTTCAATAAATGATACAGTCATAAAACATAATACTCGTGTTGTTGAAAATCTTACAAACCCAAATGACTTAAAGGTGCCACTCGGAAAAATGTCAAACCCAAAGAGAGTTTTTGTTGTTACGATCCTGCAGACAGCACACCGACTGAGTAGCGTTTAACAGAAACTATGAGGAAAGATCCCAAATCAAGCCGAGTTATTGAGGCCTATCCACACTCCTGTCACCCTGTATCTGATAGATAAACGTCAAACAATGCATTGCAGTGACACCCATATCCCGGAAAGGAACAAAGTCATCCTGCGAGGGGGAAGAATTTTTCATTAATCCACCACTGTTTCTGTTGAAGCAGAATCTGGTCAGTCAGATTCCCATGGTTTTTATGCCGGTGTACGTTTTTACAGATGCCATTGTGGCCCGTGAGCTGTGCTAACCCTGCTTTCCTTTCCCTCCCTGTCTCTGTAGGATGCTGAAGCTATTTTTAACTGGCTGAGTGAATTCCAGCTTCAGCATTACACAGCCAACTTCATCAACGCTGGCTACGATGTGCCAACCATCAGCCGCATGACCCCTGAGGTGAGTACCACAAGGACAACACTCTGTTCTTCGCTGTTTGGTCAAAGCTCTCTCACCACTGCTAACCCTAGTATTCTCTTCAGTTTGCACTGAACAGCCTGCAGTCAAGGGGCCAGCAACCAGAGGAACATACAGCACTAAAAGAGGCCATTCAGCCCATCATGTCAATGCCCGCTGAACAAACTAGCCACCCATTGTACTGCCACTTTCATGCTCCTAGTCCATAGCCTGTCAGTTTATACTGTTTTTGGCCCAGGGCCAGACCAGGCTGAGAAGAAGAGAGAACTGTGGAATCTCACACTGCCGATGGAGTCCATTCAGCCCAGAGTGCCTGTGCTAGCTGTTTGTCAGAAAGCTTCGCTGTTAGATCCCACTCCCCCAGTTTCCTTTCCACATTGTTCCACAGTTCCCCTGGTGAATGTTACAAAGTTGACGGTGAAAAGTCGTGGCTGGTTGGTGTCAGATTTAGGGTTTTCAATAAAGGAAGGACTGCCAGCTGTGAGGAATACCTCGGTTCATGTGAATATACACGTTAGGAGCAGGAGTAGGCCACTGAGCCCTTTGAACCACCTGCACAGTTCACTATGTATGTATGCTGTATGACTCTTTGACTCTATGGAGAAAATGGAGTTATAGACAGCTAGAGAAGGAGAGGTTGGGGTCTCTAACTAAGAAAAGAGTTAGCACCTCGGACTCCTGGGGTTCTACTGCTCTCTATGTTTAGTGCTGTGTCTCCCTGTGCCAGGTACCTCACTGCAGCTTATGACAGGGCACACGTACCTCTGGCCTTCGTAAATGGTGGGGACTGGAGCTACACTCCCTGACCCTGTCCTGTGTATCAGCTACGATTGAAAACCTCACGGGGCATGGAGGTGGGGTCCTACACTGAATGGAGTAGGTTACTTAAGTCTGTTGAGCTCAGTGCTAACAACTGACTGTAATCCTGTACAGGACCTGACAGCAATTGGGGTGACTAAACCTGGACATAGGAAGAAGATTTCGACTGAGATTGGCAAACTGAGCATTCCGGAATGGCTTCCCGATTACAGACCGGTAGGTAACCTCTACGGTATGAGGAACTGAGTCTGCCTGTCCCCAATGGAGTAACACGGTGTGGAGCTGGAGGAACACAGCAGGCCAGGCAGCATCAAAGGAGCAGGAAAGCTGACAAACAGGGTCCCGCCTCAAAACATCAGCTTTCCTGATCCTCTGATGCTGCCTGGCCTGCTGTATTCATCCAGCTCCACTGTGTGTTATCTCTGACTCCAGCATCGGCAGTTCTTACCGTCTCTGTTCCCAATGGGGGTACTTTTTGTTGTTTGCTGTTCAATACCCCTTGATGATCAGGTGTCTAATAACCAGACACGACTGTTACAGGAACTCTGTGTAGATACCAGAGTGAAACTCCTTCTACAGTGTCCCCATCAAACACTCCCAGGACAGGGACAGCACGGCGTTAGATACAGAGCAAAGCTGCCTCTACACTGTCCCAATCAAACACTCCCAGTTAAGCTAATTCTATATTTTTCCAACAGATCAAATTTGGCAGGGATTAGTTTCCATTTATTTTGTAACTTATCGCACCTTTCAGGATATCTTCAAGCAGCTCCAGTTATTGTTGTTTAGGGTTGATACAGAGTACAGTTCTCTCTACAATGCCTCCCCTCACAAGGACATCTCCCACTGCAGGAAGGTGAGATTTCTATCTGAAAGTGAAGTCACTGATTGGAGCAAAATGAGAGGAAGTACCTCTGCACCTGTAGAATTACTCAGACCTGGGCTGAAAGTGCTCAAAACAATCTCATACAGGATTTACAGTTCTTTCCCCCTCTCTGTACTCCTCTGTAAAGCTCTGTATGTGGCAGTCCTCCAGCTTTCTATCGGAGACCTGGAGTGGAGGTTGTTACACGCAGCAGTCTCAAGCTCATGGACTTCCAACCTAACTGTTTATTTGGTGGTATTGCAGAGACTGTGAACCATGCATGTACTGGTTTTTAGTTACTTGAAAAATCTTTGTGGCATTCTTGTGGTTACATTTAAGCTCCCCCACCACCTCCTGACTTGTGGGCACTCGGTATGCGGGCAGGTGCGGGGCATCTTGGAGGGCCCACTCCTGAGGGCCTGGTCTAAGTGGCCATGAATGGATCCAGACAGCAGGGGGTGGAAGGGGATCATAGTTTCTGACTCCCTGCCTCTCTTCCAGGGCTAAGTTTGTGCCCGGGAGTCCTTGGAGAGGGAGCATGCAGTCTCCGCCAACACTCTCGACGTTTTGAGAGAGAGAGGTGGGCACCGCGGGCACTGGAAATGTGTTATCACTGTCTCCAGCACCATTTTGATGTTGTATCCCCTTCTTCATCTTTTGAGGGGCCAGCTTTTCGAGTTCTGGCTGCATGTTCAGCCCCATGTTGCTGATCTTTGGGTAGTCATCGTGGAGGGTTTGGGTGGTGGGGGCAGGGGAGCTCTTGGGGCTGGTTTAATGGGTCCAGGCAGCTGTCTGTAAAGGGGCTGGTAAACCCCAACAGCCTGCCCCTCTTCCACGGTTCTGTCTGTGTCTGGGTGTCCTCAGGCACACACTGTCACAGCTATTGGGCACTGTGGGGAAAGATGGACCCTTCCCCCTCCCGTGATATTTTGATTTAATAAATATTTTCTTTGTTTTAAGTTGATTCTGTTGGCCCCCAGCAAGGCTGTTTTGTTTGGAATATTTGGTTTTATTTATTTAAGGATCTGGGTTCTTCTGCAGTGGGGTGTCACCTTGTGGACAGGGAGTCCAGATGGGAAAGCTGGAAAAGAGAATTGGTAATAAACTATAGGTTCACAATCAAAGCCTGGTAAATCTCTGAAAGCCTTTTGCTGCCTAATTCGACGTATAGACATCAGCCTGTCAAACAAAACTACCACAGCATTCTCACCAGACGTGTTTGATTCATATCCTACAGCTGACATGTGGGAATCCCAAACAGAACCATTCTCCACTGTTGCTGTGTGGAATCAATGCTAGAAGCTAGAGTGCCAGATGTAACCCACTGTTTGTGCCGAATGAGCTGAGGTCAGTCAGGAGGGGAGATGGCACAGCTCAGGATAGGTTCACCTGTTGAGTGAAGGTGTTGCCTAATGAGGAAAGGGTCAGCAGGTTGGCCCTGTACACACATTGGAGTTTAGAACGGCGAGAGATGATCTTATTATCTGTGCGTGTAATGGTTTAACCGGGTAGATAATGCTGGCCCACCCAGGGACGCTCATGTACCAGGAGTGAATAAACAAAAACAATGCTGAGGGGATACTGCACTTCATGGGGGGGAATCTAGAACCTGGGGATACGGTTCTGGAATAAAGGCATCCCCACTTAAGACTGGCATGAGGAGGAATTTCTTTTCTGAGAGTCATTAGATTTACAAAGCATTTATAAAAATGTTGCCAGGACTGGAAGGTTTGAGCTATGGGGAGAGGCTGAATTCACTGGAGCACCGGAGGCTGAGGGGTGACCTTATAGAGGTTTATAAAATCATGAGGGGCATAGACAGGGTGAATAGCCAAGGTCTTTCTCCCCAGGGTAGGGGAGTTTAAAAGTACAGGACATGGGTTTAAGGTGAAAGGGGAAAGATTTAAAAGGGACCTAAAGGGCATCTTTTGCACACAGAGGGTGGTGCGTGTATAGACTGAGCTGCCAGAGGAAGTGGTGGAGGCTGGTACAATTACAACATTTAAAAGGCATCTGGACGGCTACATGAACAGGAAGGGTTTAGGCAAATGGGACTAAATCAGATTGGGATGTTTGGTCAGCACGGATGAGTTGGACCGAAGGGTCTGTTTCTGTGTTGTACATCTCTGCGTGTTCACAGAGAGCAGACTGGGTCACTGAATGCATTCAGGGCTGAGTCTGACAGACTTACAACCTACAAGGGAGTTGTGGATTGTAGTGGGACAGACAGGAGTGTGGAGTTCAGGCAAAATCAGATCAGCCATAGTGTCATTGAATGACCAAGCAGGATTGAAGGGTGAATGGCCTATACCTTCTCCTGTTACTTCAGTTTTAATTCAGCATTTGCAGACTCATGCCCAGTGGGAGCTGGTTTGGAAACTGCACTAATCCCATTCCATATTGGCAGGGTTATAATTACCAGACAGAGCTGGTGTCAGTGTGCCAAGGTTCTTTGGGCTATGCCAGGGCAAATCAAGCAGGGCACCCACTTCCTGATCACTGTCTGGTGACCCCTACTGGAAAGTGCATGATGGGGTGAGGACGGTTACATGTACACCTTCTGTGATGCTTTCGGTAGCCGAATAGTCTGTTGGCATTGGGTGGGTGGGACGTCTTGTATAGAATGTGCGAAGTAATCCCTGTGTTGTTAAACACCAGGAAGAGGTGAGCCAGTGCAGGAGAAGAACAGTCCCATGTAAAGAGGTGCAGGCTGTCGACAGTGTTAGGAGCTCACTTCTTGCTGTCTGTATTCCACAGGCAGATCTGTTTGAGTGGCTGAGTGTGATCGGCTTGCCTCAGTACCACAAGAAGCTCGTCGATAATGGCTATGACAGCATCAACTTCGTAAGCGAGATCACCTGGGAGGATCTGCAAGAAATTGGAATCACACAGTTGGGTAAGAATGGCCCTCGTCCTGGCCCTAGGTGTCTCCTCTTGGACATTCCAACCTTGGGTCTGTCTGAGGATCTTTGGTGAATTTCTGCAGTGCATCTTGTAGATAGTACACACTGCTGCTACTGAGCATCGGTGGTGGGGGGAGTGGATACTTGTGAATGTGGTGCCAATCAAGCGGGCTACTTTATTTTTGATTGTGTCAAGCTTCTTGAGTGTCGTTAGGGCTGTGCCCATCCAGGCAGGTGGGGAGTATTCCATCACACTCCTGACGTGCCTTGTAGATGGTGGATAGGCTCTGGGGGGAGTCAGGAGGTGAGTTACACGCCACAATATTTCCATCCTCCAATTCCTGTAATCGTTGTGTTGGTGTGGCTGGTCCCATTGAGTTCCTGCTTCAAATCTTCTGTTTAGAGTGACTGCTTTGTGTTTCTACAGGACATCAGAAGAAGATGATGATTGCCGTGAAGAAACTTGTGGATGTGCAGAAGGCTTTAAATCAGGCGGAAGTGGAGGCCAAAACTGCGACGCTGAGGCGCAAAGCTCCAGCTGCATTGGAGATAGTCACCATCGAGGCATTACAAGGTGAGAATGGAGAATGCCAGTCTCCTCAAACGCCAAAGATGCTCACCTTCCAGGACAGCGAATTGAGCCACGAGCTGCAATCCGCCATGTCCAACCCTTGCTACAATTGCCAGGAAGGCCTAGCAATGAAGCAGGCCGGAGCCATCTCCCGAAGCCAGGAGAGCATCGGGATCCGCTCCCGAGGATCCGGCCACTCCCAGGACAACGTGCTGGGCAAGACCAAGACAGACAGCAAGTCCCAGGAAAGCCTGGGCAGTGGGGATGGCAGCAGCAGTGGGAAGACCACCTCATTACCCTGCCCGCATGATGTGTCACCTGTTCACATTGTGGCGCCACACCAGGAGAATGCCAACGGTTTGGGCCCTGCCCATGGAGGCAGTCCATGTAAGGAGAGGAACGTTCCAGATGGGCGCGACCATTATCAGAGGCCTGTGCTACAAATGGCTGCTCCTGTAGCTCACCCGGTAAAGATGCTGCCTTCCCAGTACCGAGTCCCTCCCCACCCAACCCTCATCACTCCTCACACCCCGAGTAAGGGTAAGACGGTGCCAGCCTTTATGTACCCACAACTACCTGGTAAAAAACCTTTTTGCTCAGCAGTGGAGCCCACCAAACAGCAACACATCTCCCATGTGCCAGGCAACCAGGACTTCACCTACCTTCACCCACATTGTGGGCTCACCAATGGAGTTGTGCCAGAGAATGGGCCTCGCCTGAACCCTGTGGCACTGCCAGGCGCTGTGCCGATTATCCGCTGCCCGGTGCCAGGCCAGGAGCCGAACGGCGATGCATCCAAGCCCAAGAAGCGTTCCCAGAGCCTGAACCGCTATGCCGTGTCGGACGGTGAGCCAGAGGAGGATGACGTGGGCACGGGGGCCGTCAGTACGTACGCCACCCTCACACGGCGCCCGGGCCGCAACCAATGGCCAAGGACAGCGGACAAGAGCGTCAACCGCAGCCAATCGTTTGCCCTCCGTGGGAAGAGGAAAGGGCCACCTCCTGCCCCGCCCAAACGCCTGAGTTCGGTATCCAGCTGCCAGGGGCAGGAGGCCGAGAGGGAACCAGCCTCCGATTCTGCCGCTGCCACCCAGAATGCCCCTGACCTGGTCGACGGGCTCCCTGTCAAACAGGAGCCCAGTGAAGAGCCAGCAAACGGTGGCGCTGGGAGTGTCAGGAGTCTTGCTGCCAAGCTGGAGATGAACAGCTCCCCTGGTGGTCAGCCCAAAGCCATGGCCTTGCTGAAACTATCCAGAGCGGAGAGGTGGGAGAACCTGGACCCCATTCCCAAGAACCCTGATCATTGCGGAGGCGGCTCCATGCCGAGTAAGGAGGTGACGAGGGCGCACGAGAAAGTGAGGGACACCGCCAGCCGGCGACGCACGGTCAGTGAGCCGGGAGTCAGCGTCGAGCTGGCTGTGATCACCGAACCCTCCCAAACTGACAGGGAGGAGCCAAAGTCGGACGCAGAGGATGAGGCCAGGTCTGCGAGGGGAGATCTCGAGACCTCATCGTCCTCTCAGAACAGTTCCAGCGAGTGCATCCCTTTCGCAGAGGAGGGCATTTTGACCATAAAGCAAAGGCCAAAGGTCAACAGCGGGGCCCGGGAGGAGGGGAACATCGGCTCCGCTGCCACACCTGACGCTGTAACTGTGATGCCTGGAGATGTTGGGGAGGAAAGTCAGGCTCCCGAGGGCAACGGGGCCCCTGCAACGATGGGCGCAGCCGCCAAGCAGCTGGATATTCCCGAATTCAACCTGACCGAGTCCGACACAGTCAAACGGCGGCACAAGCCCAAAGAGAAGGAGCTGGCGCAAGCTCCCGCCGCTGTCCTGCAGCACCACGTGCTGGCGCAGGGACCTCGGTACGCAGACGCCCAGGCTGTACACATTGTGGACTCGAGACCCCAGGCCAATCCCCACAGCAAATCCGACTTGGATGATGACGCCTGTGTCGAGTTCAGGATCGCTGAGATTGAGAGGAGTCTCCAGTCTTTAGAGAAAGGGACCAAGAAGACGCTGAAACCTCCGCTCTCCCCTAAACCAGCCCTCTCCTATCTCCAACAGGCCCCCAAACAGACAGCACCAGTCCCTGTTTCTACCAGGCCTTCTCTCACCAAGGGACCAGCAACAGGTAATTACTTCACACTTTGTTTTAATAGAGGGAGCGGGTAACCTTTGCACCAGTGTAGATTGTCAGAATGAGGATCTCTCTTTAGCTCCATAATCCTGGTAACAGCTACTCGCCATGATGCTGTCATTACACCGAAACACTCCACAGCTGAGACCACAGTCCAAACATCTCTTTGGCCCGAGTGTCACTTAGCTGGATAACCAGAGTGCATGTGTGAACGTTAGGTTGAGACAGCTGTGATTCCTGCCACAGTCCAACAGCCATTGACTGACACCCATTGCCTGAAGATGCTAACTTCAGTGCCTGCCCAGAGACTTGAGCATCCAGGTTGTGGGGACAGTGTAGCACTGAGGGAGTGCCGCACTCTCACAGGAGGCTCTCTCAGGTGAAACAGGAGCAGGGGGCGATATAAAAGATTTCCAGAAATAGTTTTTGGATGAGAGGGGAATTCTCCCTGATGTCCTGCTGCTAGCCGATGATTCTATCCTTGTGACTGACACCATGATTACCGAACTGGTCATTATGTGCTGTTTGTGGGATCTTGCTGTGTGCAAAGTGATGTCTGCTTCTCTCTTCAAGACCACAGTTTCTTTTTGTTCAAATGTATTTATTCCCGGAGGGTGGGTGTTTCTGGCAAGGCCAGAATTAATTGCAGTTCCCTACATGGCCTTGAATTGCTGTGGCTCTGGAGTTACACACAGGCCAGACCAGGTAAGGATGGCAGACTTCCCTCCCTGAAGAACATTAGTGAACCAGGTGGGTTTTTAATGACAATGGTTGCACAGTCACCACTTTTGAGACTAGTTTTCAAAAACTGGTTACATTTATAGAAGTTAAATTTCAGCTGGGATTTGAACTATATTATCACTGACTTTACCACAATGCATCATCTCCCAGAACTCTACTCACCCAAAGTACTCTGTCATCCGTGTAGCACTTTGAGAGATCAGCGAAAGGTGCTTCTTTCAGACTGTGCCTCCAATGTTGATTTTGAAAATCAGGGTCTTAGTTAATTTATGTTGCCCTTCTTTTTCAGAGTTCTGTCGAAATCAGTCACTCTTGTCCACGCCGCCTGTCTCTCCAAAGACCACAACAACACGTGGAGTGCCACTGGCCAGTCCCAAAATGAGCAGACTTCCGCAGGGTGGGAATCTTGTCACCGCCACAGGTTCCGTACAGCAACTAGAGCCTGCGCGAGCCTCTGTGCCCACGAGCCCAGTTGCCAGGAAGGCGACATTGACAGGAGGGGTGCTTATAAAGCCTACAGCAGAAGCTCCATTAGCCTCCCTGGCTCATCAACGACTGGAACAGACAAGCAGCTCGCTGGAGGCAGCCCTTAATGCAGTGGAACAGAAACTAACTCGAGAAGACAATGGCAATAATGTGTAAGTTACGTTAGGGTTCAGTGGTATGATTGATCTGTGTTTGATTATATTAATCGTTGTTCACAGCGCTGGGCTGTTTTAATCTCTGGGTGGAGCTAGAGAGTGAAGTCTACTGAAAAAGTTCAAGAGCTGAGGCACTGAACTCAGAGCAGACGTATGGAAATCACGTGCACTTTAAGATATTTGTAAATCGATCAATTTAGAACAAGTGTTATCTCTGCATTGTTCCAGGATAAACCAGGCACAGAAGACAGCAAATATATAACCATTTAGCAACAAGCATTATCCATCTGTCTGGTAATGCAGTGGTTATGTTCCTGGATCTACACTGGATCCATGGAATGCATGCTGAGGTTGAAACATATAGAGAGAGGGAATAAATTGATGAAGAATCTTAATGTAGGGAGGCAGTTAATGGAGTAAATTACTTGGACAACAGAAAAATAAAGGGTCATCACTGAATCATAGAATGATAAAATTATTACAGTGCAGTTAGAGACCATTCAGCCCATTATATCAGCACCACTCTCTGAGAATTTTAACTTAATGCAAGCTCCTGCCTCTTCCCCATAATTCTGAATGTTATTGCTGTTTCAATAATCATCCAATGCCCCTCTTGAAAGTCTAAATTGAACCAGCCTCCACCACATTTGCAGGCATTGCATTCCAGACCCTAACTACTTTTCTGAAGTTTTTCTTTTCTCACTAGGTTTGTTTCTCCAAACTGTGTCCTCTTGTTCTCGATCCTTTTACAAGCAGTAATAGTCTTTCCCTAATGGTCTGTCCAGACTCCTTGTGATTTTGAAGATGGTTATCAAATCTATCCCCTGCCTTCTCCTCTCCAGGGAAATCAGTCCCAACTTTTCCAATCTATCCTCAGAAGTTTCTCATTCCTGGAGCCATTCTTGTAAACCACTGCTGTGCTCTCTCTGTAATGCATTCACATCCTTCCTATAATGTGGTACACAGAACTGTACACAGTACTCCAACTGAGGTCTAACCAGTGTCCTACATAGGTTTATCATATTCTCTGGCTTCTTGTACGCTATGCTCCTATTAATGAAGCCTAGTGTACTGTTTTTACTGAACAGCTGTTATTAACAGCTTTCTCTACCAGTCCTGCCACCTTTGATGACTTATGCATTCTCTCTGTCGTCACCACAACATCATAAACCCACGAGGCAATGTGTGCCTGTAACACCCCAGTCTTATTAACCATGCTCTGTGCATTCACATACAGGCAGTATAGCCCTGAGTCAGATTTCATTACTTTCTCCCTTATTCTGATTCCATCTATTGACTTACTAATCTCCATCCTAGAGCTTTGTGCCAGTCCCAGCATTTTATGCATTCTGGTATTACTTCCTAATGCTCCCTCCTGATTCCCACATTCCTGCTGAGTTAGTTAACAACCCGAGCCAAACATCCTGCATGGAATACCGCCCCAGCTTTGTTAGGTGTACCATGTCCAGCTTCTATAGGTGCCATCTCCCCCAGAACTAGTCCCAGCATCCCAAGAATCCAAAGGCCTTCCTCCTGCACCATCTTTCCAAGTTCCTAGGAGTGACAATAACCGATAATCTGTCCTGGACTTCCCATGTAGAATGTGATGGTCAAGAAGGCACAACAAAGCCTCTTCTTCCTCAGGCAGCTCAGGAAATTTGGCATGTCCATAGGGACCCTCACCAACTTATACAGATGCATGATTGAAAGCATACTGTCCGGGTGCATAACAGCCTGGTACGGCAACTGCTCTGCCCAGGACCGTAAGAAACTACAGAAGATGGTGGGCATAGCCCAGACCATCACGGAAGCCAACCATCCATCCATGGATTCCATTTACACTGCTCGCTACCGCAGAAAGGCTGCCAACATTATCAAAGACCCATCACACCCTGGTAATGATCTTCTACAACCTCTTCCATCAGGCAGGAGATACAGAAGCGCGAGCACACACACCGGCAGGTTCAGGAACAGCTTCTTCCCGGCTGTTATTATATTGATGAATGGACTCTTTAGCCTCAAATAACGCTGATCTTCTTAACGCTGATCTTGCTTAGTGCATGCCCTGTGTAATGTAACCTGCATGCCTCCATCTAAGTCTTTTTGATCTGTACATCCTTACTTACTATGATCTGCTTGTAAACAAAGCTATTCACTGTACTTGGGCACATGTGACAATCAATCAATCAATCAACCCCTTCATCTGCCTTATCTTCCTATTTCTGTACAGGCTTACACATGGCATTTGGGAGTAACCCAGAGATTATTGCTTTAAAGATCTAATTTTCTACCTAGGTCTCTCAATTCCAATTGCAGGAATCCACAACCCCTTTCCTATCCGAGTCGCTGGTGATAATGCGGGCCACAATCTCTGGCTGTGGCTTTTTTAAAAAAAGAAACAATCTACTTTTCTGTTCTTAGTGAACAGCTAGTTCACACTTATATCACTGTACTCCATCTGCCAACTTGTGGCTCATTCATGTATCTCACTCCTCTGTTCACAGCCTCCTTTATTTCTTTCTCACAGCTTACACTCCCACCTAACATTCAATTGATCATTGCAAGTTGCATATGCTTCCTTTATGAGTTTAGGAGTGTAGGCAGTGACCGGAATGAAACATGTAAGATCGTTAGGGGTTGGGTGAGGAGAGGTGGCTTTTTCTTCTGACAAAATCTGGAATCAGGGAAACAGTTTAAAAATAAGGGGTTAAAGCCCATTTAAAGCACAGACGGGGTTTCTATCCTCCCTCCCAGTGGGTCAGAACTCTCTTCCTGAAAAAGATGATGGAATCAGAATCCTTGAATATTGTAAGGCTGAGGTAACAAGGTTATCGGGGAGGTTGGTGAAAGTGTAGAGTACTCAGATCAGCCAGGATCTTATTGGATGATAGAGCCAGCGTGAGGGGCAGAGTGGCCTTCTCCTGCTCCTAATTTGTATGTTTGTATGGATCAGCAAAAGTGGATATTTCACCCTTGGTCTTTTTGTCTAAGGCTTTACATATACTGTAAAGGCAGAGACTTCAGATCTGGGGTTGGGACATTATTGTAGTTGTACAGGATGTTGGTGAGGCCTCTTCTGGAATTCTGTGTCCAGTTCTGATCACTCTGTAATGGGAAAGATATTATTAAACTGGAGAGGGTTCAGAAGGGATATACCAGGATGTTGCCAGGAATTGATGGTTTGAGTTATAAGGAGAGACTGGATGGGCTGGAACTTTTTCCACAAGAATGTAGGAGGTTGAGGGGTGACCTTATAGAGGTTTATAAAATCAGAAGGGGCATGGATAAGGTGAACGGCAGATGTCTTTTCCCTAGGGTGGGGGATTTCAAGACTAGGGGGCATATTTTTAAGGTGAGGGGAGAAAGATTTAAAAAAGACATGAGGGGCAACCTTTTTACACCTTCCACACAGTGGTTCATGTGTGGACTGAACTTCCAGAGGAAGTGGACGATGTGGGCACAGCTACAACATTTAAAAGACATTTGGATAAATATTAAGAAAGATTTGGAGGCATATGTGCCAAGCACAGGCAGGTGGGACTAGTTTAGTTTGGAGACAGTTAGGACTGCAGATGCTGAAAGCTAGAGTTGATAAATGGAAAAGCACAGCATCCAAGGAGCAGGGAAGTCAATGTCTTGGGCCGAAACCCTTCATCAGGACTTCCCTGCTGTTCGAGTAGCGTCTGACCTAGTCTAGTTTGGGATTGCTGGACCAGAGGGCACTGTGTGACTCTACAGAAAACAACAAATATGGAGATCGCAGCGGGTCAGGCAGCATCGATGGGGAGAGACCAAACTAACAAGATGACTTTTCATCAGAGATAGTAGGAACTGCAGGTGCTGGAGAATCTGAGATAACAAGGTGTAGAGCTGGATGAACACAGCAGGCCAAGCAGGAAGGCTGACGTTTCGGACCTAGACCCTTCTTCAGACAAAAAACTTTCTGACTTTTCATCAGAGCAGGTGTGACTCTAGCAGTTTGTATGACCTTTGATTACCTCACGTTCTGTTTTATTTCTCCCCTTCAGCTCCGTTTCAGTGAAGTCTGCTGGTAATATTTTGGACGACATTGGGAGCATGTTTGACGACCTCGCTGATCAGTTGGAAGCCATGTTGGACTAATCCCCGCCAACCGCCCTCATGCTGATGTTGTCCCTTTGACCGTTGGCGGGAGCCCCCCAATTCCCCACCCCCCACCACCCCCAGCATAAAGCTCCAGGCTGTGGGATAGCCATGGTAACTGCCGGAAGGTGCCTGAGCGCCTCGTGTCCCTGAGGCTGTCCCGGTTTTCGGAGCATGTTGTGGAAGTGATTGAGCTTTGCTGCATCCATATTGTCCAGGCCTGGCTCAGATGGGGCTTTCAAAACTGTACTGTGTAGGATCCCGGCTCAGTCAGTGAGGGATAGCTTTGAAACCCCGGGAGAGCGTAAGAAACCGAAATCTTTATTGCTTTTGCTTTTTAATACCTATGTATATATTTTCCCTCCTCTCCAGTTTCTGCTGCTGTGATAAGCACTTAAAACGAGTTAAAGCACAGCACATTGACCTGAGACCCCCCCACTCCCCAAACAAAGTGAAGATTCAATCTTTATCAGATCAGGCAACGATCTTTAAACGAAAACTGAAACAACTGCGGGCGCTGTAAATCAGAAACAAAAGCGGAATTTGCTGGGAAAGCTCAGCAGGTCCGGCAGCATCTTGTGGAGAGAAATCAGAGTTAACGTTTCGGGTCAAGTGACTCTTCCTCAGAACTGATCTTTAAACCGCTGTCTCTGAAGAGGCACCATTGCCCCTCCTGTGCCACAACCATTCAGTCAGTGCATAGTGATAGCAGCAGCTAAAGCTGACGCACAACCCAGCACTTTCCCCTTCACCCTGGACCTGAAGTACCGGCCCTGCATTACTTAATAAAATAAAAATCTTCTCCACTCAAGCTTAACGCTATACTCCGACTGGTGAAAGGCAGAGGCTGGGATCACGAGATGGCTGTTTCTGGAACGCATTTGTGTTTTTAATCGGGCAGAGACTAATGACCGTGAGAGGTCAGAGCGACTGGGTGGAGATGGGCCTTCTTCCATTTGCATGAGATCAGGGCAGGCTATGGTGAAGCACCTTGGGACAGATCACCTCTGCTGGAGGTGCTACATGAATCCTAACTTTTTATTGTGTTGCTAAGGCAGACGATGTGAATTTATGTCTCTTTTTGTTTGTTTGTTTGTGCATGCCAAGCCCTGGTGCCAAGTTGAGAATTTGCCTTGAGTGTTGGGGGGGTAGTGGTAAAGTGTCAGCGTTTGAATGTGTGTTGCCCCTTCTCTCTGCTGGTTCCTGCAGGATTGAGGAGCAGTAAGCAATTATTCAAAGCTTTCTGGCCTCAGCGCTGAAATCCAGCATTTTTCTTTGTTTTCAAGTACAGATTCCAGCATCTGCAATAATTTGTTTCTAAGCTCACTGCGTTGGGAGCTCCATCCTTAGCGGTTTGGGATATGCCGTCCCTAAGCCTGAAGTTGCCCTCAGTCACAGGCCGATGTGGAGGAGTATGTGACCAGTGTTCCACTCTGAGGGACACATCCTGAATTGACATAGTGACCAATCAGTTCTGGCTGGGGTTCTGACACGTGATGTTTAAAAAGGAATGGAGGGGGGTAGGGTTGTGAAGAACACTGTACTGAGACATGGAAATCGTTCCCGGGGAACCACCATGCCAACAGAACTTCCCATCTTCAGCCGCTCCTGTTCTGCACTGCATCTCTGTGTGAATATCTAACCCAAAGCTCAGTATCTCTACAACAATTTACATAACGACAGTCTTGTAGCGCGCAGAGAGAAAATATTTTTCTAAACAGAAAAGTGGAAAGCAGCTTAAACTTAGTGTGGAGGAACTGGTTCTGAACCTGATTGTATGATACCTGCAGCAACTGTCTCACTACTCTTAGAGACAGTTAATGTGCCTTTTCTCGAATCTGCAAGGTGTGAATATGTGTTTGTGTAGCACGCCATGTATGTGAGCATGTGTAGCATTGTTTGTGTGTAGCATCCGTGTGTGAGCATGTATGTGTCTATACCACATCTGTGCATACACATGTATCATGTGTATGAGTTGGACATGTATGTGTGTCTGTCTTGCACGTCTGTGTGGGCATGTGTAACATGTATGTTTGTGTATGCCACATTCCTGTGTGTACACATGCAGCGTGTGTGTATGAGTAGCGATAACTCTATGTTAGCATGTATGTGTGTGAGTAGCACATGCCAGTGTGCACATATAGCATGTATGTATGTTTGTTAGCACACGCTGATGGCAGGCTAATGTGGTAAATCAGTGTGTGAACCATGTCGGGTCAGACTTGGTGCGAGCAATTTCTGAGATGCCACCCTTGCATCTAATGGTAAAAGGTTCCAATTCCTGGGCTACTTTGGAACAAAACAGTCAGGAGCATCAATCTTCAGCCAGTTACCTTTCAGTTCTCTAACTGTCTCTCCTCACAACTACGTGCCCATAACTGTGTCAAAGCTGCCCTTGTCATAGTTTCCAGCCAGATGTTCATCATAGAGATCAAGAGATGTTCTGTAGCATTAATACACAGTGTAGTTCCGGTCCCCTTGGTAGAGCAATCATTGAATTAAAGAGATAACTGTCCTGATTTGTCCCTGTTAGCCACACCCCGTTATCCAATCAATCCATACCTAGGTTATTCACACTGGATTCAGTCTAAATCAATGTGAATAACTTTGAATAGCCTTAATTAAACTCCCGTCTAACTAATGAGA